CCATTGAAAAATAAGTGTGTGAGGTAATTTATATGTTAATTAGTTTGAGGTAGCCATTCCACAATGTATATATATTTCCAAGCATCATGTTATATAACTTGAATATAAATAAATTTTAGTACTCAATTTAAAAAAAAAGCTTGTTTTTTTCAAATGATTTATTCTTTGAAGAGAACATATTACTATGAATGTTAAATTTTAAATAATGAGTGATTTAGAATATTTATGATTCATTTTAATAAGAATGTGACATTAATACATTTGGAATACACATTTTTGAACATTTAAAAATACTAATTTTGTTTTTCTTTCTATTATTTGAATAAATTTTTAAAATGCAAATCAAACTTTAATATAATGTGTTATATTACACTTGAAAGTATGTCATTAAAAGGTAGAGTATTTAAGAAATTGATATAACGTGGAATTTGAAAGTAGGGAGAATTATGAAGTACTTAGAGTTTCGTGTGCATAAAGAATTAATTAAGCAAACATGAAAAGGAAATTACTATAATAGAATAGTCAAAATTTTCAATTATATACTTTCTTATATTCCTTATGTATTCTCTTAAATCACAAAATAAGGTTTATTTAACTGGCCTGGAGATTTTATTTACACACTGCACTATAATACTAATTATGATCTTTAGTAAAATCTAAAAGCAATATAGTAAGAATTGAAGTATGTCAAGTGTTTTGCCATGTCTAGCACATCTCACCATTAACAGGTTAAATGTGGGCAACCAAGAAAAAAAAGATAAAAATTTTAGAATTATACAAACCCCTAGATTTAAATTCTACCCTAACTATTTACTAAATCATAGAAATGTCAAAATCAAAATTAAATAGAAAAATGCTCTCAAGTTTTAGTAGAAAATAAATGAACTTTCATATATGGAGGTATTTGAAAGGAAGTATTTAAAATGTATGTCAATGATAAAATTATTTTATCATTTCTAAATGGTTAATGAAGAAAAATATTGTAGATTCATAATAATTTCTAGCAGCTTGAAGAATCCTATGGGAAAAGTATTTAGAAAACAGTAATTTTCTATTTATATTTTGCTTTCACCTCTTTAAATTATTATAAGGGGAAGCTTTATATTAATATAAAATTTATGTTATTAAACAGTATATTTTACATCGAAGCTAATGCTTCATTAATATATGTGTTTTTTGAGCATTTTGAACATCCACCAAAATCAGTTATATTGGTTGTAATTTAATTTTAGTAGATATTTATAGAAAGCCTATTTTAGTAACAAGTATTTCTAAACTTGGAAACACATAATCATAGCTCTTGTTATTAATTGCTTGTTATTCAGAAAAGGGAATTAATGTATTACAATAGAACAAAGGAATATTCAAGAATTTATATGTGCAATTCTGAATATTTGCTGATGATCCCTCAGATCCAAGACGGACATGTATCAATACTTGTTTAGGCTTCTGACTTTGAATTACATTCACTGTTAGAAGAATGTGTGGGATCTGATCAAATTGTTAATGAATGATGACCTACCTTGTAATTAGAGATGTTCTAGATTAATACATGATACCATTTAATACTTTGAGATAGGATTATATTCTCCATTTTAGAGCTTTAGAAGTTATATACGAAGATAGTACTACTAAGTTTACAAATAATCCAAAATTAATTAACCATGGAAATGTCAATGGTCTACTTCACAAATATATAAAACATAATATTCCAAGGTATACATATACCACAATTTACTAATCCATTCATAGGGCAATGGGCACTTGGGCTTCTTCCATGACTTAGCTATTATTAATTGAGCTGCAATGAACAGTCTGGTGCAAATATCTTTGTTATAAAGTGATTTTTGGTCTTTTGGATATATACCTAGTAGAGGAATTGTAGGATCGAATGGCAGGTCTACTTTTAGATCCCTGAATATTAAAATAATTAAAATAAAATGGAGACTTTACCTCTTTTATGTTTATATGGATGGAGCTGGAGCATATCCTACTTAGTAAAGTATCTCAACAATGGAAGAAAAAGTATCTAATGTACTCAGTACTATGTACTGCCTGTCTATTTCTGAGACCTCTCAATTTTTACTTTTGGTCTCAGAAGTAGGGAGAACTACTTCTGAGATCAAAATACAAAATATTATGAAACCAATTTACAATCACTCACACTTTCATATGAAGATAGATCACAACTATGGCCCAGGATGAAAGAGGGAGAAGGAGGGATGGGAGGTTTGGGGGGAGGTCAGATGGAGGGAGGATGAATAGTGGGACCACACCTATGGTGCATATTACAAGGATACATGTAGGATCTCTTAAGTATAGAGTATAAATGTCTTAACACCATAATTAAGTAAATGAGGTGAGAGATATATTAACTTTTGTGATGTAAGCATTCCAAATTGTATATGAAATCAGCACATTGTATCCCATAAATGCATTCATGTGAAAAAATATATATAAAACATTTGACAAAGTGCAAGATCTTAATAGTTTGATTATAAACAAAATATCTAATTTCCAAAAATTATAGTATATAATAAAAGAAGTAAAATAATTTTCAGGGAAAAATTTAGAATGAAAAAGAAAGTGGAGGCTTCCACTTGTTAGAAAATAGAAGACCCATGCTGACATTTCCTCCAAATATAATACTAGTATACCTGTGCAAATTACAAAGCTCTTTTACATTTCTGGGCTAAAACAAAAATGAGAGAACTCTTCAAGGCCATAGCCAAACAAATAGCTGAAAGAATAGTAAGATGAGACTTGAGAAAGAGATAACAGAATAAGGAAGGTAGCATTTCCATGAGTCAATGTTTACACCAATAACACCTGGAGCATCTGCCTTGAGTCAAACATAAGATTGGAGAACAAGGAAGCAGAGATGGTGCATTAAGCCTCCATCATTAGAAAGAACTCACGTGTCTCTAAGTGGTGCAGCGGTTCTTGTTGAAGCAGACTCTGCTTCACACGAGGTAAGCATCTGCAGTTTAGGCCTCTAAAAGTTTCACAAACTAAAAGGAATTAACTATGACTTTAAAATAATGTTACCTAAAACACAGTGAACCAAACTGACATGAAATGAGTATTATTGGAAACAACAAACAATAGATTTACAATTCCAAGCATTGCGATGTTGGAATTACTAGTTACAGGTTATAAAAGAAAACATATAAGAGTTAAGAAATAATGAAAGGAGTAAAAAAAAGGTAAGAGAGTAGTATAAAAACACCCAAAGTGATCATGTAAAATTGAAGTAAAAATTGAGAAGTCTCAGAAATAGACAATGTTAAAATAAAAACCACACAAGCTCATCTGCTTTTAACCATGATGGGTTAGCGTGTATTAGACAAGTGATCCCCACAGTATAACTGTAGAGCTCCCATTTTAAATTCAAACATGAACTGTTTTCAAATATTAGACAGTAGAAAAGACAGCTAACACTTAAGAGGCCATAATCTCAGAAAGGAAGGATAGGAACTGAAATAAGACTAATTCTTTGCCATTGTTCCCTTGAGATATGACTGACAGATGGACAGGCAGTGGTCTGCTAAGAGGCAAGCAGCAGAAATTCAGGGAGAAGATGGAAGTTAAGATGTTACATGTAACTTATGAATCGTTTGTACTATACAAATGTAGATATATAAACATGTAGTATGTAGTTATGTGTATATGCATAAATATATGTGTATGTTTATACAGAGGAAGATATAGAATGGTTTCTGAAATAACCAACAAAGTCACTAACCAGATTCTGTCTTTTGAGAAAGAAAGTAACCCAGACAGGTGAGATTCTATTTAGAGGGCTTTTCCACCTCTGTAATAATGTATTTAAAAGTTTAGCACCTCTTCCCAGTATTTGTATTTTTTTCTTACAAGTGCCGATATCCATTTCAGATGGTTCAGAAACAGTTGTCCCTTCACGTTCTTGATTGTAGTTTTTTAGTCTTTTTTTTTTTATTTTCATAGGTTGACATTCTGTTGCTCATTTCATATGATAATTACCAGAAATAAACTTCCCAGTAAATAGGAGTTACACTTAAAAAAATTAAACTATGAAAACCGTCTAATAGCAACAGAGATCTTTCTGACAGACAACAAATGAAAGCATGTCATTTTCTGTGGATTAAGTAAATTATTTCTCTTCAGGTACTGTTTATTCTTACTTTTCTATAGTTTAGAAAAGTATATTGAAAGGTATTGTTGCTTTGTTGCAATTCTTCAAATACCAAAAGCTTTTAAAATGGCTGGAACATGTGGTCCCATTCATTGTTGTTAATTGCATTTGCTTTTTATATGTGCTTGAAATATACTATTATTTTTCATTCACATAGAAACATAGGAAAAATGCACTTTGCACATTAATTCCCTTGTGTACTTGTTCAAGAAAGTTAACACACACATAAGAAAATCTGGGGGGGGGCAAATATTGAATATTGGGTATTTTTTCAATAACTATAGAAAAGTAAGAATAAAATCTTTAAATGCACATGTTCAGTTTTTAAACAAACTGTTGAGTTTCTTTTGAAGAACCATATTGGTAAACACAATTAATTTTGTAAATTACAAAATCCACCATAATTATTTTAATTGTTTATTACTTGTTTTGCTTGTATGTGAGATTTTTCAATTCCTCAGAGACAAAACACTCTCGATAACTGTATTCTCAGCAGGCATGCATTTGGCACCTTACATTTATTAGCATTAAAATGCAGGACTCAGTATATCCAACACATTATTTGGGTCATGTGTAATTAGACATCTGCATATAAAGTCTATATATAATGCATAAGAAATGGATAAAGCATTTAAAGCTGAGTAGGAAAAGCAGCAACTACAAATTAAAAATAAGAGATGACACTTTAATTTTTCTCTTCATCTTAAATCATAATGATTGAAGCTATGTTTATATGAGCTTTCTTGGTATTACACATACTATCACATTAGAATTATTTCATTATATAACATACAATTTGCAGTTATTCGAAACTAGAATTATATACCTTTGTTGTTATCCATTCCTCCTACAGCATACAGAGTTCCAACTGTAGATTTTCTGGGCTTAGTTCTTGGACTTTGCATTAAAGTTCTTCTTTCTGGCAATAGATGATATTTCATTGCTTCCAAAATCAGCTTTTGACATTCCAGATCATTCTTAAATAATGCATGGTTTTCTAGGTCAGCTAATATCTGTGAATAATACACAATCACTGTTAATACTGCTTTGTAAATGAATGAGCATTATGATACCAATGCTTAAAATTAGAAGATTAATGTCAATGCTATTACCCATGTGTCAAGAAGAAAGAGATTGTAGTAAGAATTCATTACATTGACAAGTAAAAACAAGTAAAATGCATGGCTTTCAAGAGGGACAGAATAAATACTATTTTTGACTTAATATTATTTGTTATAATTTTACTACACAGAATAGAAAGGCCCTGCCATAGATCACTTTTCCCATTTGTTTTATTATGAAAGCTGTTTGTAAATCCAATATACTTGCTTTTGTTGGCTATAAACATGTTTGGTGAAGTAAATTAAAAAGAAACTTTGAACAACTTCGGTCATAACATGCCTATCATAAGTATTCATATACTTAATATAAAATGTTCTATGTATAGTTTAAACTCTTTCAAATTCAAAATAACTCAATGAAAATGAAAAATAAAAAATTCCTCTTAACATATAAAATATGCAAGGAATTGAAAGGTACTACATCAGGCAAAGTTACTTTATTTCAAATATTCAGCACCTGTGAAAACAAGAGACCAGTAGTTTTAAATTCTATTATGCCTCTCTTTTATTATAACCAGTTTTTGCGTCCGAAAATTCTTTTGTGCCTATTTCTTTCAATGCATCCAAAGTAGCTTTTATTTTTCTTTTCCTCTGTCCTTCGATTCTTTCAGTATCATCTTTTTTCATTTTTAATGGATCCTGTTTCACTTTGAGCAGCAATAAAATCTCTCCCATACATTTAGAAAAGTCATGGATGGAAAAGTTAACATTTACCCTGGACATGGATAAGAAACCATGAAGTATCTGTACACAGATGTTTACTGAGTGAATAAATTAATATATGATGGCAGCATGAAAGTAAATAGTTTATCTGAACACTATAACTCAAATATTAATTAAATTAAATTAGGATACTAATGCATTAATTTATATATATGTACATATTACTGTTATAGGTGTCAGGGAGAATATAAAAACATGTAAAATACATAAGATATGAGGAAGACAACAGAGTATCTAAGTTGGAATAGGGAGTGTAATGTGTCGGAACTACCAGATGCTTTGAAGTCATGTAAGTGAATATGTTTAATTGCATACTCATACTCAGCTCTGTTTAACTTTTTTCCACACTACACTCTAAATACCTTACTACCTCCTTTTATTTTGCAGGTTTAATTCTGAGAAAAAGCTGATATAGAATAAGCTAAGGAATATCCAATGAAAATTCATAAAAGAGCTATTTTCCTCTTTTATTCATTTATTTATTTTTATTTTTTCTGAGACAGAGTCTCACTTTTTTGCCCTCAGAAGAATTCTGTGGCGTTATAGATCACAGTAACCTCAAACTATTAGGCTCAAGCAATCCTTTTGCCTCAGCCTTCCTCGTGGCTGGGACTATAGGCACCCACCACAACCCCCAGTTATATTTAGAGATGGGGTCTTGCTCTTGCTAAGGCTGGTTTTGAACTCCTAACCTCAAGCAATCTACCTGGCTTGGCCTTCCAGAGTGCTAGGATTATAGGTGTGAATAACTGCACCCATCTATTTTACTCTTTTAGTAAAACTTTTGTTTGTATTCACATAAGAACATATATATATGTTCATAATAAATATATATAATATATGTTTCATAATAAATATATATAATAAATATATTTATTTCTTTATTAGAATATATAAATAAATATATTTATTTCTTTATATTATATTATTTATATATTCTATATAGAATATATAAATAAATATATTTATTTCTTTATAAATAAATATATTTATTTCTTTATTAGAATATATAAATAAATATATTTATTTCTTTATTAGAAATAAACTTTGTTGCCCTCGGTAGGGTGCTGTGGTCGGTAGAGTGCTCACAGTGACATCACAGCTCACAGCCACCTCCAGCTCTTGGGCTTAGGCAATTCTCTTGCCTCAGCCTCTGAGTAGCTAGGGCTACAGGCACCCAACATAATGCCCTTCTATTTTTTTGTTACACTTTGGCCGGGCCGGGTTCAAATCTGCCACCCTCAGTATATGCGGCTGGTGCCCTACTCACTGAGCTGTAGGCACTGCCCAAGAACATATATATTTCTAACAAGGCCACAGTGGTCTTTATAAACATCATATCTATCTATAATGACATTTGGTCATCTGTGTTTCAAAATATTCTTTTCTTCATTTAAGCTTTTCTTTTATTTATAGGGAAAAATTACACTTTATAATAATATATAAATGCACATTTATATATATACACACATATGGATATAAAGTTGGATTTCATTAATTCTTTTTTTCATCTTCTTCTAGACCTATTTTTTTACTTCTTTTGAGAAAATTGTAGATATACTTTTCTTTTTTAAATTTTTTTAAAATTAAATCATAGTTGTGTACACACTTTTCTTAAAAAATAAAACATTCTGGGGATAAAGCAAGATGGCAGACTAGAGAAATCTTCTTATTAGTCACTCACTGTGAGACAAGGGAAAGAGAATTCCAGCCACCTCTGGCTGGAGGAACCTACCCAGGGACATCACTCTGGAGGCACAGTGAAGCAGTGGAAGACTCCAGAGCCAGCAAGGTCTGCAGCTGAGGAGAATCAGCACAGAAGGCAAGTGTGGCCAGTGAGCCCTCCTACAGAGAACTAGGGAGAGGCAAAGACTGTCTTGCAGGTTTATTTTTATTTTGGACTGAGCTGCTCACTGTAGCTGTTTGGCAGTTTTAAACAAGTGAATAGAGTCAAACAGCACCAAGCATCCAGGATTAAATACTGAGTAGAGTACATCTCCCATTGGCTTGGCTACTAGCAGGGCACCATTGTGGGAAAGCCATGAGAGAGGAAAGGTGCACAGGATCCTAGTGCATGGCGGGCTCCAGCATACCTGTTGAGCTCAGGCAACCATCCTGGTGTGTGCTGGGGAGAAACCATACCCCAGAGAAGGCCACTTTGTTGTCAGGGGTCACTGTTTGATGTGCCTCCTAAGAAAACTGGACTCCAATCCCATGGGAACTAAATGCTGACAAAGTGAGCAGGCCCTGATTGAGGGCAAATAATTCAGAAACACAGGACTTGGTCTCCTCTACAACCAGAGAGTAGTGGCTGGCCCCCATTTTATATAGCAAAATTGCCTGTGTGTTCTCTGTCTCCTAACACTACAGCACCACCTGATTCCAGGAAATATATTGCTATTTATATATGTGTGTGTGTGTGTGTATATATATATATATATATGTATGTATATATAAAATATTATATAATATTTCTTTCAATATTTTGTGTCTGTGCTCAAATTTTCCCTTATATTTTGCTTCTTTTTTGTTGTTTTGGTTATTGTTTTTAGTTTCGTGTTTTTTTTGGGGGGGCATATTTTTATTTTTTCATTTATACTTTCTTCAATAGCAAGGACTTCTCTATTTTTGTTATGGTTTTTCAGCCCCCTTTCTTATTTTTTTATTTTTTTAAATTTCAGGCTCTTTTATTCCATAAATATTTACAGAACATCAACTATAGGCAAAACATTGACATAATCATTGAAGATAATATTGGGACAAATATATCAATTTTATGGGGAAACAAAAGCATTATTTACAAATCATTTATGAGATAAGTGTACTCATTACCACCACTCCTAGTAAAGTTGAAGATCCTAGCTAGTACAATTACGATAACTTAAGAATCCCAATAGTTTGTAAAAAAAAATACAAATTTCATTACTTCTGAGTTACCAAGTTACTTGCAAGTTACCAAAAACAATAGAAAAATTCAGCAATGTAGCTAACTTCAAAATAACTATGCAAAATCAATTATGTTCCTATGTAAAAAAGAATTACAAAATAATACTAGTAAAAGAAAGATAGCATTGTATCAGCAACCAAAATAGAAAGTACCTATCAATCTAGCTTTAACAAGAGCTATGTAAAATTTTTTTGAATACATAATCATTTACTACTTGTTTGTTACAGGATACACAAGACAAAATACAAATAGCAAACAATTTTTTTCCATATTATGTTTTGGTCTAAAAAAATATACAATTAATATATATAAATAAAAGTACAAAATAATTTCTAAAAAAAAAAAAGCAGATCACACCAAGTCTTATAGACAGTAGAAATAGAAATACTTCAAAATCATTCTACTTAGTCTGGATATCCCTGATAGTAAAATTAGAAAAAATATATTATTATGAAGGGGAAATTGTAGATGTATTTCACTGATGAATAAGGATGCAATATGATGAACAACATATTGACAAGTTGAATTAAAAATTGATATTTAAGTAATATACATTGATCAAAATTATATATATGATTTCTTTCTTTTGATTTCTCTACTTTTTTCCCCTTCTCTTTTGGTAGACATTTTCTACTTTTCTCATCTTACCCATATAAATTCCCATAGAACAGCTAGGATATCCCATTTTGTTCATTATCTTCTCTAATTGCATTTTTAATTTTCTTTATCTATTTTTATTTATTTGTTTGTTTTTTTCCTTTCTCAATGGTTTGGGGGGTCATAGCATTGGTCTATGTGTGTGGTGGGGTCATGGCATTGGTCTGGCTCATGGTCAAGATCCACAAGCTCATGGTCTAGGATGTCCTTCTAGCTTTGGCCTTTAAAAACAGTATTGGTTGGTGCCTACTGTGAAATACTGTTGTTGTTTTTTTTTTTTTTCTATTTGGCAGAGGTGGGATCTTGCTTTTGCTCAGATAGGTAAGGAGCTCCTTACTTTGAGGAACCACCTCAGCTCAGCCCCTCAAAGCCTAAAGTCCTGTGTGTCGTCAAAACAACCTGTCAAACACCACCATTTCTCCTGTCTCTCTCTTTCCTTCTTCTATCTCTTCTTTTCATTCTATTCTTTTCTTTCACCATGTTCTTCATTTTTTCTATTTATCTTTTTCTTTTCTTTCTCCCTTCTTACTCTTTAAGCTTAGCATCCTTTTGGCCTTATACCAAA